CGGAGCTATGAGCCATGCAAAGTGGGAGCATTGGGGGTCAACACAGCTGCTTGATAATTTAATGCAAAATTGTGATTTCTTGTGTTTGCAAGAAACGTTTTTTGAATCTAAACAGGACTTGGGGAAGACAATTTTTTAATGACAATTTTCACGGGGCTGGCACATCCACAACTGATCTTACTATGGGTAGAGTGAGAAGAAGGATATCAGGAGGAGTGGCTAGACTTGCTTTTATTAGCTCTTTTATTAATGAAAATAATTGTGCAAGTGTTTTTGTGATTGGGGATATGAATGCAGATCTTACTGATAAATCTTCAATGTTTGCTAAGCATATGCTGCATTTTAGTGAGGATAACTAAATTGTTGTTACCAATGTATAGCTGTACTTATATAAGTGAAGCCTGGCACTGGACCTCGTGACTTGATCATTGTATTAGTACAGCTGAGGCTCATGCTACTTTACAGTCAATGGAAACTCTATAAGGGGCATCTATATCTGATCATGTACCATTTTTAATGATTGTTGATTCTGAAAGCCTGCCTGAGATGAATTATGAGTGTAAAAGGGCTGGCTTGGTAAAATTAGATTGGTCTAAACTTACAGACGAAGGTGTTCAAACATATCACAGGAAAACAGATCCTCTGTTGAATGAGGTGGTATTACCCAGAGATGCAATCATGTGAATTGTAATGACATTTCTCATGGTACAGCCTTTTGTGCTATGTATGATGATATTGTGGGATCAGTCTACGAGGCTAGTAGACCTTATCTTACGCGCCCTGACAAGAAATATAATAGTAAGCCAGGGTGGAAAAAGTATGTGTCAGCATTTCATAACGAAGCAAAGGAAGCATTTAAGGCATGGGACATAGCTGCTAGGCCCAGACAAGGACCACTTCTGGACCAGAAAAAGTTAAGCAATGCTAAATATAAATATACAGTTTATTATATCAGTAAACGTGAACAAGTGATGAGAGTGGATTCAATGGTGGAAAATCTGCTTTGCAATAGTTTGAATGATTTCTGGAAGGACGCAAGATAATAAAATGGGAGCAATGTGACAAAACCGTGCTCTATAGAGGGTGTTTCTGGAGCTGAGGATATAGCGGAGTTGTGGAGACAACATTATTCTGCTCTGTTTCATGAGTGAGCGTTAAACAGATGAGGTGCATCAAGCAATAATACAGCTCAAAGATAGGAAAACTGGTGGTTTAGATCAAATTACAGCTGAACATTGAAAATACACGATACATGGGCTGTATATATACCTGTATATTCACTTGGTCATAGAAAAATGTGACTTTCTGAGACTTTTCCACATTGCAGCAGGTAAATCCCATCTGTCCCCAGCAGAGCGAGTAATAACAATCATCTACAGCAGAAGAGAGATAATATTGACTGTGTTACCCATGCTCATCTGAGGGCAGAAGTGGCAGCAGTTGACTCCCAGATCATCGGCCTCATGCTCAGAGTCCACAGATGAAGCTCTCCCTGACTGGAGCCTGTGATGAACATCTGTCCACACGGGGAGAAACAGCAGGCCAGTACAGGCCAGGACGCTTGAGCACATCTACAGGTGAGACGCTTCAGGTTACACACATCAAACAGAACGACTCAAGCAAACGATCCCTAATCAAACATTTGCTGGAGCGCTCTATGTTTTGCATTCATGAAAAGATCATTATAGCTCCTAAGAATTGTAGAGAGTCTAGGTGTTAAATAAAATAGAAGACATCATTTCTCTTTTTTTAGTTTAACTTTAAATAACAAATGGAAATAAAAATGAAAATATATAGAAATATATATATAATAAAAAAAAAATCACAAAAGATAGCAAACAAAAAACACTCAAACTTTAACTTAGATTAAAATCAAAAGGAGAATATAATAATAACTAATTCAAAATATTTAAAAAAACAAATCAGTCATACTGAAATAACACTAATTATCATTATGCTTTACATAATTTTTTTTAACAAGAATGATTCTTTGAAGCATATTATTTTTATTGATTTATTTATTTATATAAAATAAATTATAGGGGACAGAAAAGTCCCTCTAACTGACACATGACTCATGAATTAAAATATATTGCTTAATATTTTCGAGTTAGCCTGTTACATGTAATCAATTCTTATAAACATGGTTTTAAAACCTTTTCAAAACTGGTTTAATTTTTTATTAGCTAATGTAGCGTTCTCTTAATGTTAATATAATATTATGTCAGTGTATTTCCCAAATGCTACTTCAACATCAATGCTACTTTAACGTTGTAACATTACGTATGTTTGTATTGTTATTATATATAATATATAATTAAAATAAAATATAGATCTAAAAAATATTTTAAATAATTCTAATCCTTTCAGTTTGAGTGCATGATGTACTTTTTTCATGTCCCCATCATTATGTCTTGACATATTTGATCAAATGTGTCTGATGACAATATTAAAGCATATGTTTTTAGATATTTAATAATAAATACATATATAATATATACTTAAAATAAAAAATAAATTAATTTTTTTTTTAAATAATTCTAATCCTTTCAGTTTGAGTGCATGTTGTTTAGCACTACATTTGGATAAAATAAAATAACATAAAAAATATAATAACTGAAAAATGAAATTATTATTATTTTTTTTAAATAAATGAATTGGTTTAAATATAAAGATAAATATATCACCAAAAGGCTGAAAATATTGTTTTTTAATAAATGACTAGTCATAATCTACTTGACTATAATGACCATTTGGATTTGGATAAAATAAAATAAATAGAACATAAAAAATATAATAACTGAAAAATGAATTAAATTTTTTTTTTTTTATAAATTAATTGGTTTAAAATAAAATTATTATTATTGTTTTGGTGATAAATATATCACCAAAAGGCTGAAAATATTATGTTTTTTAATAAATGACTAGTCAATCTACTTGACTATAATGACTGTTTGGATTTGGATAAAATAAAATAAAGTCATATAACATAAAAAAATATAATACAATAACTGAAAAATGAAATATAGTTTTTTAAAAAATAAATAAATTGGTTTAAAATAAAATTATTATTATTTTGGTGATAAATATATTAATAAATGACTAGTCATAATCTACTTGACTGCAATGACTGTTTGGATAAAATAAAAATAAAAATGAATACTACTACTACTACTACTAATAATAACACTACTGCTATTACTACTACTACTACTAATTATATTATTATTATTATCATCAATAAATATATCACTAAAAGCCTGAAAATATAGTGTTTTTAAATAAATGACTAGTCATAATCTACTTTACTTGACTACAATGACTGTTTGTATTTGGATAAAATTTAAAAATAATATAAAGTAATATAAAATAATAAATAATATATTAATAATAATTATTATAAATAATAAATGACTGAAAATTTTTAAATAAATGACTTGGTTTAAAATAAAACAAAATATAAAATATAAAAATGGACACAAATGGAGAGACTCGTATTGCTGTTGCCAGGAGTAGATTTGAGAAGAAGAGACAGACAGACAGAAACACAGCTGTAAGAAGTGACGCAAAGTCATTTAAACGGGTACACGATCTTCTCATGCATAAGATGCAGCATCAACAGTATAAACACAACCAGGCTGCTTGAAAACATTTTATTAAGTATTCGACACAAACTAGAGAAAAATAAAACTCCTACAAAACAGAACGCTACACCTTCATTGCAACATCTTCACACAGCAGAATTCAAGTATTCTGACTTTAGTACCATAAAAACCACTGCAGTTCATTAGAATAAGTATCATGTAAACTAGATTGCTTTATTGCAACAGCACTTTTTTTGCACGTGCAAAATTGGCCGCCACAATGCATGAGTGTTTGCTATGTCAAAAACGACCATTTCTGATGTCTAGACATGGTTTGGAGGTTTTTTTCCCATCGGTTTTATTGTTGCATCGTATATGAGCAATAGCAATAATGGTGTAAAAATTCCAGCAAACACTGAATGAATGCTTGTGCATCGGAATAGATTGAGGTTTGAGAAGTTGTAAAAATTGTGGATTTCTGAAAGGCACTGCTATTTTCAGAAAGTGCCATATTAAAACCCATGAAAAGATACAGCTATTAAAAAGGCATAAACGATGCTGGAGTCTTGTGTGCACAGAATACAATATTCAGAACCGATATTAAACATTAATAGTCGTTGTATATGTCACGATGGACTGTGTTTTGGAGTTTGTGATTTAAAACATACACATTTACATAAATGCAGCTTTATAATGTAACCAATAATGGATCTTCGGTTCTCTAGGAGCTCAGAATTATGTAAACACGTTATTTTGTTTTTTTTTAATGTTAGTCTTATGCACACCCCTTCAAATAAAGTGTAACCAAAAGGCATAAACGATGCTGGAGTCTTGTGTGCACAGAATACAATATTCAGAACCGATATTAAACATTAATAGTCGTTGTATATGTCACGATGGACTGTGTTTTGGAGTTTGTGATTTAAAACATACACATTTACATAAATGCAGCTTTATAATGTAACCAATAATGGATCTTCGGTTCTCTAGGAGCTCAGAATTATGTAAACACGTTATTTTGTTTTTTTTTAATTCTGATAAAGAAAACACATTCATTGAGATTTTTAAAGCAGTTTTGCCTCTTTTTCATAGAAAGTGAAGACAGTGAAGTTGAAAGTGAAGTTTTAAATAATTAAAAACTAATTAAATACAGTACATTCACTATAATATTAACGTTTATTAAAAAAAAACATTTACAGGTTATTTTGGAAAACGTTCATGTTCTCACAGTTGTCCTTTAACAAAATTCTGATAAAGAAAACACATTCATTGAGATTTTTAAAGCAGTTTTGCCTCTTTTTCATAGAAAGTGAAGACAGTGAAGTTGAAAGTGAAGTTTTAAATAATTAAAAACTAATTTAATACAGTACATTCACTATAATATTAACGTTTATTAAAAAAAAAAACATTTACAGGTTATTTTGGAAAACGTTCATGTTCTCACAGTTGTCCTTTAACAAAGCAAAGCAGGTGGGAATCGTGGTGTAAATGCATCTGAACTGCTCTCATGTGCTGAGACCTGGTTTCTGGAAGTTCTGCCTCAACAGCTCGGTCCATCTCCTCTGGAAAAACCATCTCATCGTGTGTCCCGCTCGGCCGATGACTGAATTATCCTCGTTGAATTTCTCACAGTTATCGAACACCAGGTTCACGTCAATGATAAAAGTCTCAAGATTCAAGTACCTGCGATGAGAAAAGTCCATTGTGATTACAAAAGCAAACATAACACACACTGGGCATTAAATCAAACATCATTTTGCTGGTAAATATTGTGGTTCACCTGCTATTATATTGGTGCATATAAATTATGTTCATTTTGATAAATTTATTTTGATAAATTACTTGATCTACTTAACTATAATGACTGGTTAAAATTATTATTTAAATGAAATAAAATAACAAGAATAAATTATTTTTTATTATTAGCAATAAATAGAATCACCAAAAGACTAAAAATATAGTTTTTTAATAAATGACTTAATCTACTTGACTATAGTGACTGTTTGGTAAAAATGATGATCTAAAATAAAACAAACTGAAGTAAAAAGTATAACAATGGACACACACACACTCTCAATCAATCAGTAAATCAATCAATCAATAAACTAACAAATAAATACAAATATTTAAAAATAAAATAGAATTAAAATCGCCAATAAATATATCACCAAAAAGCCTGAAAATATTGTGTTACTAATAAACTACTAGTCTTAATCTACTTGACTACAATGACAGTTCGGTTAAAAAAAATTATAAAATTAAATTAAATAAAAAATAAAACAAAATAAAAATATATTATCATCAATAAATATCACCAAAAAGGCTGAAGATATTGTGTTTTTTAATAAACGACTAGTCTTAATCTACTTGACTACAATGACTGTTTGGTAAATAAAATAATAATATTTATTATTATTATCACCATCAATACATATATCACCAAAATGCTTCAAATCTAGTTTTAGCCTTCCAGCCCTACTAATAACTGTAAATGACTAGTTAATAATGATTAGTGAACTAGTGACACCCACTGGCTGTTGGTGAGCTTGTCTCTGATAGTAGAGAGGTCCATGGGTTTCTTGATGATCTTGCGGTACCCCGGGACAGATTTGGGGTTGACGGGTGTAAGAAACGGTCCGGCGTCCTGATGGCTTTCCAGCTCAGCCAAGAGTATTCTGAAAAAAAACGATCAATGATCAATCTGATTCCAGGATTTTTAAGATCAGATTTAAGACTTAAGACCTGCACAAATAAAACGAATAGGGCAATGTCTATGGTAACATATTAATCTGTAAAAAGCATGATTTACAGTTCAGATACAGGTTTGCACAAAAACAAAATATTTTATAAGATGATAAACTTCACATTTCAGCCTTTAAATCATTTTTACGAAAATAGATAAGTCAAAACTATCTATTATATTAATTTAAATAATTATTATATTAATTAAATAACATATACATATATTTTACTGTCTTAATTGTTTAGATCTTTATAATGCATTATCTTGTTGTCGATCCACTAGTTCACATTTACAACTCTGCTTGTCTGTTGTGTAAAAATATGGGTGGATTTTCACATTGATCTGAACAAAACCAGCAGATGGGCTTATTGATAATGCAAATTCATTCTCTGTCAGCAGGTAATGGCAGTGCACAAAGCAGCAGCACCTGACTTTGAAACGTGCAGCGCTCATATTTATTCAATGAAATTAGGGATGTAACGATTCACTGAAGTCACGATTCGATTCACGATTTTGATTTCACGATTCGATTCACGATTGCTTTTTAACAAAATGAGATTTAAGACAAATTATAAATTAAATGTGTCCTTTTATTATTGCTTGGACAGAATGCTGCACGTTTCTTTGTGAAATTGATATATAACACTATAATAATAATATACTAATATAGCACTTGTATATTATTGCTCTTTCGTTGGTTTTGATTGCTTCTATTGTCCTCATTTGTAAGTCGCTTTGGATAAAAGCGTCTGCTAAATGACCATTTAAATATAATGTAAATGTAAATAACAAAACTAAATTGAAATTTTAAAACAAGCCCCAAATCAAATAAATAAGTAACACAAATAAAATAAGTCTCTTCATATAAACAAACTAAGGCTTTGTCTGTGCTTTAATCCTTACATCCCTAAATGAAATCATATACTTCTGAAGTTTAATCGTCACATTAAGTTATATCGCAATTCTTGTCTTTCCGTCCCTAAATTTAAGACCTCTTGAAATCATAATTAAGACTTTTTTAAGAGTTTTTATGGCCTTAAATTTAGCACAAATAGATTTTTTAAGGACCTGCAGAAACCCTGGATTGAATATAACTCTCATTCAGCAAGGTTTCCGGCTCTGATACCTGCACATGGTCAGGTCTTTACTGTCATCTCTGGCTGTTTCGGGACCCTCCTGCTTTGCCGGGTTAGTGGAAGGATTCTCCTCGGTCTTCCTCTTTTTTATTTCCTTTAACACTTTTCTGGGCGTGCTGTTGGCGCTGCCCGAATCGTCCTCCGAGTCTCCGGCCACAGATGGTTTCTTGTGCCGTTTGGCCTCAGCAGGTTTCTTCAGGCCTCCGCTTGAGCGGTCCAAAGGCTTCTTGGTCTTCAGGGACTGACTGCTCGCCTGCACAGAGCCAAACACATTAGTGAGGAAACACTAGTAAATCTCTAAACACAGGCCAAGGACTCTCTTCATGAAGAACAGACTACTGCAGCTAAGCAGCATTTATGGGGCCTTTGAGCTTATATACACACAAAAGTATATTTAGGGATGCACATGTGCTTGTGAATTGGAATTGGATGGAAGGAATGGGAAGCAATAAAATATTTATGGTTTTAAACTGTTAACAATTGTTAATTGTTAAGCCAAATTCCCCAATGATTTACTTGGTTCTAATACAAAACTGAAAAGATAACAATTACTGTAAACATTTATTAATAATAAATAATAATAATAACAATTAAAATGGCATTATTTATTAAAACAATAAATAATAAGTGCAGTAATAAAATTTAGAATATTATTATTACCACTCAAAACGCTGACTTCAATAATAATAATAATAATAATAATGTTATTATTATCATTATTATTATATTGAAAAAATATGATAAATGTAGTAGTAAAGTTTGTAGTAAATGAAAAAATAAAATAAAAATTAATAAAATAAATGTAGCAACTTTATATACATGTAGTAACTTTATATTATATGTTATTACATTATGTCTTTATATTATTATTACTATTAGACTTGTTGATAATAATAATTTTATTTATAAAAATAACAAGTAATAAATTTAGCAATCAAATTTATAATTGTATTATTATTATTATTGTTGTTGTTGTTGTTGTCAGTGTTGTTAGTAGTAGTAGTAATAATAATAATAATTTTAAGTGTAGGAGTAAAAATTGTAGTAAATAAAAATGAATGTAGTAAAATAATGTTATAATATTATATTATAATATTATATTGCAATATTTATTATTATTAAAAACTCTGACCTAATAATAATAATAAAACTATAATAAAGTATAAATTGTATTACTACATTCATTAAGTTTTTATATTATTATTATTGATGTTATTATATTGTTGTTGTCATTGATGATAATAATAACATAAAAAATTAACATAAACAAAATGTATCAATAACATTTTGAATTTTATTATCATTATTTTTTATCGTTGTTGTTGTCAGTGTCCTAAATAGTAATAGCAGTAGTAGTAGAAATAATAATAATAATTGTTCTTGCATAGATATGTAAAATGACATATCACTGTGTTGTGCCAGGTTTGACACTGAACTGCAGCTGAAGCCTTAAAATACAGCACACAAGTCACATGGACTGCTTTTATGATACTTTCATAGAGTTTTTGGTCAATTTGAACTGACATTTTGTGAAAATATTCTTCTGAAATTCCATGATAAAAAAAAAACTGCATACAGGTTTGGAGCAACATAGAGATATAGAGTAAATAAATGACAGAATTTTCCTGCAAGGTCTCACCACAGGCAGTGTTACTGAACTAATAAAGTGCTCCACCTGGGATATGCAGGCCGGGCAGAACCAGTCTCCGTCTGGTATGGTGGTGCTCTTGGGTTTATGGCAGTACGTGTGGCAGCCTCGATCACATCCATCACACAGCAGCAGCAGCTCCTCGTTGTCCCCCTTACAGCAGATCTGACAGTACTGCGCCAGAAACACAACCGGATTACTTCAGTGTTGGGCAGTAGGGCTGTCAAAATGGCTGAAAAACTAAATTCGAATTTTCTACTTAAATATGATTAAAATTCGAATTATGTTCGAATTTAAAAGGCATAATTTCAGTTAGGGTGAAGAAAAGCTTTTGGCTTCTCTCCTGAGGCCACAAGAGGGCGCATCATTCAAAGCATAAGATAACATGACTATCTGCGAAAAAAAAGTGCATAATGTTTAAAATAATGTTTATAAACCAATTATAATTAAGTTGCTTAAACAACTTTAAACAAAACAGCATCATGTATGCATGCATAGTTTAATACAAAGGGTGGAAAGCTAATCACACAGAGTACATTTTTCGTTTAAAAACATGAGATACAGTGGGATGGGGAAAAACCCGCCATAAAGTCTCGATATATGTCTTTTTTTCAAAGTCAAACTTGCATTAATTTTACATGGCTTTCTAAACATGCGGCTCTTTTGTGCGAGACGCGAGAGTAAAGGTAATAGATGTCCATCTAGAAAATACGTCTATATGCATTCTGTGTGAATGGCTTGGTTTCGGTTTTGATGTAAACAAGATCTTCTCCGCATTGATGTTCTCTTTTTCCGCTATATTTTTAATGAACAACGCAGCAGCGCCGCATCTAGTGGCTTCAACTGGATAGACTAACAAAAACATTATAATGCAATGACACCTACATCGTCATCGCATCTCGTGCGCCGCTACGGCTGCCTCCTTAACGCACACCAAAAATTCAAATGCAACGTTTTTGCAATTGAATGTGGATTTTTATTTTAAATTCGACATTAGATTTTTTTTTTGACAGCCCTATTGGGCAGTAACTAGTTACATGTAGGTAATTAAAGCAATAAGCCCCGTGAAGCCGTGGTTTACAGTGAATTTATAACAGCTAAGGGGCGTTGTTAGGTACGATGAGAAGTGCCTAAAACCCCCTTTAGCTGTTATAAATTCGCTGTAAACCACGGCTTCATGGGGTTTATTGCTTTTATAAAACGGTTATTCCATATACATAATAAGGTTTCACAGAATAAAACCGAGCAAATAAAGTGTAAAGCCCCGTTCACACCAAGAACGATAACTATAAAGATAACGATATTAGCGTCCACACCAGCGAACGATATCGTCTGTGTATTCTAAGCGCACGCTCGTCTGCCGCCTTAAATTCTCGAGCTCGTTACAGCAGGATAGATCCTGATTGGCTGTCAATTTTTTATAATTTATCAGCTGGAAAAAAATCGTTTTGAAAGTGATTCCAACGATAGCGTTTCTCTTTTTCTTTATCGTTATAGTTGTGGTGTGGACTCTGCTATTCTTTAATATTGAGAACGATTTTAAAACTATATCTTTATCGTTATCTTTATAGTTATTGTCCTTGGTGTGAACGGGCCTATAATACATATATATATATATATCTATAATATATAAATAAAAACAGTATTCTTCCACCAAACAATGTAGTTCCAGAATCAAGGACCAGAACTCTCCGTTTTATAATAGGTCATTTAAATTACAAAATAAATGTAAGTGTAATCCATTACAGTTACTGAGAAAAAAATGTGTAATTAAATTACAGTTACTTAAGAAAATGTTAAGGGTTACATCTGAATATTTTCACACACACAGATTTGATCGATTTCTTTCATAAATTGCACTGACTGCTCTAAAATATGACACATCAACGTTTCAGGAGTTTAGGACACATGCTTATTTGATAACTGTTTTATTTAATGTAAGTGTAATCCATTACAGTTACTGAGAAAAAAATGTGTAATTAAATTACAGTTACTTAAGAAAATGTTAAGGGTTACATCTGAATATTTTCACACACACAGATTTGATTGATTTCTTTCATAAATTGCACTGACTGCTCTAAAATATGACACATCAACGTTTCAGGAGTTTAGGACACATGCTTATTTGATAACTGTTTTATTTCCTATTTGGGTTTATGCATATGCTTTATTTTTTAAGATGAACTGTTTTTCCCCCCCCAAGGCATTGTTAGAAGCCTGTGTTTCCCGTCATAGCTATGCAAAGATTTGAATTCAAAAACAGTATCATAGCTATTAAACTATTTCTTGTTATGATCTTGTTATGATCAGTATTTAACCTCAGAATGATCTCAAAGTAAAAACAGGTGCTAAAGTCTGATTTTGTGGTGGCGGCCGTGCTTTAAAATTTCCCCCCCCAAGGCATTGTTAGAAGCCTGTGTTTCCCGTCATAGCTATGCAAAGATTTGAATTCAAAAACAGTATCATAGCTATTAAACTATTTGTTGTTATGATTTGTTGTTATGATCTTGTTATGATCAGTATTTAACCTCAGAATGATCTCAAAGTAAAAACAGGTGCTAAAGTCTGATTTTGTGGTGGCGGCCGTGCTTTAAAATTAAATAATTATAATCTTAATTCAAACGATGAAGGATTTTGAAAGTCTCAGACTACTGTAAGGTCTGAGAGTAATCATTGTTGAGCACTACTGTAAGGATAACCCTGCCGTAATCAGTTACATTAATTAAATAACTGAAATAGTTACACTACTTGTAACTGGTAATCTGTAAGCTATTACATTTCCAAAGTAACCTTCCCAACACTGACTGCCAGAGAATAAGAAACTAAGATCTATAAACCAACACATAGATCTGAAGTATAACACACAATCAACCTGAAAACCCAGCAAATCAATTCCCATCACAACTGCAGCAGTGTTTACGCTGGACTCACAGCACACTCACCACTTTCATGATGGATTTCTCCCAGGCGATGGACTTGTGCAGCTGCTGTATGCATAGAGAGAGCTGACTGGCACTGCGCACCTCGCCGAGAGCTTTACGCCACTGTTTCAATCCTGGAGCCAGATCTTCCTCAGCCCTGCCACAGACACAGATATTACAGTACAGCACACTAGTGAAATGAAATGAAATAAAATAATTATTTCATAATAAAATAAAAATATTTCATAATAAATAAATATGACCAGGGTCCGAAATTAACTTTTTGCCACCCCTGCCAATTCACCCTTCGCAGAGAGTTTGATTGACAGGCGATCTGACCAATCATAACGCTGAATCTGCCATTTTGTCTGACAAACAATTTATAATAAATAAATATGACCAGGGTCCGAAATTAACTTTTTGCCACCCCTGCCAATTGACCCTTCGCAGAGAGTTTGATTGACAGGCGATCTGACCAATCATAACGCTGAATCTGCCATTTTGTCTGACAAACAAACCAGACAGGAGAGTAGATTAACGTCGGTGGAGTTGAACTTGAAAAACGGTGTGTATTGATGTCTTTCCGCGGTTGAAACAAGATACCCGCTATGTTCATTCATGTTTATTTTGTGCTGTAACTAGTAAAGAGGAAGAGATGATCCCAGTTCACGCGCCGCTTGAACTGAGGAGCTACAGCGATCGGTCACGACACATTAAAGAGCCACAAAATACTATTTATTGTTTGAATTTCTTTAAAAAATGACCAAATTTGAAAGCTGAGACTTTGTTTCATACCAGAAGTAACCTGCTCTGTCTTGTCTGTCTGTGTTGTCAGTGTCCTCTTTGCTCCACAATGTATTTTTCACTGTGTGAGAACATGATGGCTTGTCGGACGTAGCAACAGTATCTAAGGGGGGTGGGTCTTTACTAAGGGTCAATTGTGAGGGCGTTTAATGCATTTACAGGTCATAAATATTTCTTACTGCCCATGAAACTGTATTTTGCATTTGCAATTTTTTATTAAATAAAAATAATACAATGAAAAAATATCTGTATATTTGTCCTGAAGACAATGCAATTATTTAGCATTTTTCCTTGCATCAGTGATGATCAGATTCTTGCAAATCTGACTAAAGTTCTTACAAATTAATTTGTATGTAAGTCAATGGCAGTTTTTATTCTGATTTGGTGCATGTTAATTTAGGAGCCCGGATATGAGCGTATTTCAGTAAAAACATGAAATGATCAATAAGCCACATTCATTCTGATATAACCACAGTGCACAAGCTGAATGAGCAATCAGAGAGCAATCAGACTCAACTGTGTTTTGCCATTTTCCACAAATAGTGCCCATCGTTACGGTTTAAATAGCATCAAGAGGCACAATTCGTTTTTTCAATGTTTTTTTTTTGTGAGAACTATTGGATATTGGTATGTAAAACCTTTTATTTACTATAATTTATGTAATAATATTTATATAATATTATCAAATATTATTTATATAATATTATATGGGAAATATAATTTGATCAGTAACTACAAGCCAACATTTAGTCACAAAACTATGTATTCCCTACTGAGTGATGGCTTAATATAGGCAAAATTTGTAACTTTGTTACTATTATTTTTATCATTTTTATTATTATTATTATTACTCAGAACTCTGACATCTATAGTAATAATAATTATAAATAATATTTTTTTTCTTTTTTGAGAAGTATCAGATGTTAGTCTGTAAACTCTTTTATTTAATATAATTTATATAATAATATTTATACAATTATTTATATAATATTATCAAATATTATTTCTATTTTATGGGATATATAAGATAAGTAACTAAAAAACAACACTTGGTCCCAAAACTATCTACCTCGTACTGAATGGTGGATTAATTTAGGATAAATAATTCTTGCCTTTATAGATTTAAATTTTTAAGTTTACTTAGAAATATATCACACCTCTTTTCGCTGACCATTTGTTAAAAATAAATAAAAATATAATAATTATATAGTATATTATAATTAATAACAACAAAAACAATGATTATTATTATTAAAAACAATAATAATAAATAACTACATAATTTAAGTTCTATTTAAATGTATTCAATTATTCTAATTAAATTAAATTATTATTATTAATATTTGTGATTAATTATTAATGATTATTAATAATACTACTATTATAACAAACAACAACAATAAATATAACAATAAAAATAATAGTAATAAACAAAAAAAACGATTTTATTTACATTTAATACAATTATTCCAATTAAATTATATTATTATAATTTTTTTTAGATATTATTATTACTACATATATTTATTTATTGTGGTTTCATTTTTAAGATTTTCAGGCTCTATTTAGTACCCTTTTTGTGGAAGTCTTTTCAAGAAGTATTCTTGAGGAAGGCAGATGACAGGATATAATGAGGCTGTGGTTATTGTAGATGTATGCTCATGCGTCACAACTCAGAAACGGTGTAGGTTGCAGTGTAAATGGGAGACAGAAGCCACAGCCATAAACCCACAGATGCACAGCCAAAGTGAAGCATGACGAGCGGCAGACGGGCTTGAGGAGCGTGTGAATCTGGATGACCTACCCGTCACCATCAGCTTTAGCAGGTGATGGCGCAGGGGCCGGTACTGAGACCGTTCCCACGTTATCCAGTCTGATCTGAATGGTGCTGCTTAAAGGGCTCTTCAGGTACCTTCGCTCAATGTTCCTCTCCAGCTCTGCCAGATGCGTCACTGCTATATCCAGAGGGTTGTTTGCTCGACGCACGATGCCACAGTCACTCCTGTCTTCGCAGTTCTCCATGACAGGTTTGTGCTCGTAATGCACCAGGTCTTCACTCTGTGACTGCGGCACTGGATGCATCCAGCCCTTTCAAACAAGCATGCTTTCATTTGCTTCACTTCAAATTAGAGACAATGTTGAAACATTAACGCTCTTAACCTGGATCTTGATCTCACTTGTACTATGTTGACAAGATCCAGCACCTCTGTGTCATACTTTCTGGCTTTTTCATGTCAATTTCTGATATTTTTCTCTTTCATATTAAACCATGTCCCCTAGTGGCATTATTTGGACTTAATGTTAATGTTGATGTTGCTAAAAGGGTTATACTAACAAACTGGAAAAAGCCTTCCCTCCCAATTACTCTCACTGGATGCATGGCCTGTTATAGTTTATTCAAATAGAAAAAAAAATGATTCACAATGTTCTTAAATGCAAATTTTTTTTATAGTGTTTGGCAACCCAATCATACTTGAAAATGTATTAATAAACAGAGAGCACATGAAAAACAATTTTCCTGCTAGTTGGTTGTGATTCTATATGTAAAAATATATTTTTATCCTTCTCAGTATTGTCTCAATTATTGGTGTATTTTATGTATATATGTACTTATTTATTATTATTATTTATTAGCATATCTATACACACACACATATACACACGAAGAGTAGAGCACAAAATAAAATAATAATTTCATTGGAATAATTAAAAAAAAAGTTAAATATAATAAAATATTTATTTATTTATAATTAATTATTCTTAATAATAATAATTGTAATTTAATTGTATACCTTATACACATATACATACAAATACATGTATATAAATTAATTCTAAAAATTGTATTAAATAATTAAAATAATAATTATTCCTAATATTAATAACTATTATTATTGTTAAAAATAATAATACTAGTAAATAATAATAATAATAATAATGAACAAACAAACAAGAACTACTTATGCACACAGGCAAAATTGTTAAAATTAAATAATTACAATTATTATTATTAATGATAATTATAATAATAATAATATACAAACAAACAACTAAATTTTTTATTGCATTTAACTTTTTCATAATTATTACAGTGGAATTATTTTTAATTAAATTAGTTTCAGTTTCATATATATATTTAATATTTCTTTTTTTTTAGCTTGGTGCAAACATACCTAACTGTATTTTGTGATGGTTTCAAAGAGTAAGAAATACTTCTGTCGGATCCCATCTTGATATTTCTGTTAACATGTCTGTTAACATAAAATGTCGATTTATTGTCTTTTTCCTTTTTGTAATCTCTCTTGTTGAAAAGCATCAATAAAAAGAGTTTTACACGAACACTCTCATAGGCGCAAACGGTGGCCAAAATGTTCATCAAAATCCAGATTTCCTACCTTAACCTGCAGACTGGATGAGGAGACTTTGTGCTCCAGTTCCTCGACCTGCTGCAGGACACCGATGTCCATGTCCATGGCCTGCTCTTCCACACACCAGCTCTGGACAGTGTCCTCAGAGACCTGATTCTCCTCCAGCTCAGAGACGTCGATCACAGAGACTGGACACAGAGCGCAAGCTGAGAGCGCTGCACTCGAAGCATTTTAAACAGCGTTTAGAGACACAACGAGCACCTACCATCTCTGTTCCTGCTGCAGACCTGCCCGATGTAATCCATGTGTTTCTGCAGCTGTTTCTGCAGCTGTTTCTCTCGGATCCCTCGGGAATGGCACGCTTTCTCTATGGATCGTAACTCCTCGATGTCCGTCACCTTCCACCAGCCAGTCAACATCTCTACAACACATACACGCAGCACAAAAAAACTGGTTTGTTGGGTCAGGTTGGAAAATATATACAACTTCATATTTTTCATTGTTCAGTAGATTAAAACGATGATTTCAATTAAAGTAACCATCATTTTAATCAAGCAGTCATTGGAATAAAGTAGATTTAAATAGTTTAAATGTATGAAATAAAATATAGTAAAATCTAGTTATCTTTTTTGGATTGATTCACACACATACTGTATATTACACTACCGTTCAAAAGTTTGGGACCAGTAAGATTTTTAAAGAAGATTTTTCAAAGAAGTCTCTTTTGCTCATATACAGTGGGTACGGAAAGTATTCAGACCCCCTTAAATTTTTCACTCTTTGTTATATTGCAGCCATTTGCTAAAATCATTTAAGTTAATTTTTTTTCCTCATTAATGTACACACAGCACCCCATATTGACATATTGATTTAGGTTCGGATCCCTCGGGAATGGCACGCTTTCTCTATGGATCGTAACTCCTCGATGTCTGTCACCTTCCACCAGCCAGTCAACATCTCTACAACACATACACGCAGCACAAAAAAACTGGTTTGTTGGGTCAGGTTGGAAAATATATACAACTTCATATTTTTCATTGTTCAGTAGATTAAAACGATGATTTCAATTAAAGTAACCATCATTTTAATCAAACAGTCATTGGAATAAAGTAGATTTAAATAGTTAAAATGCATGAAATAAAATAGAGTAAAATCTAGTTATCTTTTTTGGATTGATTCACACACATACTGTATATTACATAAAAAAGATATAATATAATCATGTTTACAATATTCACCTAAATATATTTTTAATAAAACCTTTTAATATGAAAATGCCACACTGAGTCTTTGAACAGCTCATGACGATTTTTAAGTGATGACTTAAATGAATCCTTGAATCAGAACATTGACTCGATTCAGTCGAATGGAACTTTGAACTGATTCAAAGAAATGAATCAGACGGCTGTACTAAAAAAATAACAGTAATAATAAAATAAACCTCTTAATACTCTCAAGATGTGTTATCTCCCAGCCTTACCTTCAGGAATAGGTTGAGGTGATGGGTAATCCTGGTTTTTATGCACCTCGATCACAGGTGAGGGTGTGGAGAGGGGTTTCTCCGCTGGAGACTCTGGGGAATCGTTCAGGTTTCCACTGCCCTCTGAGGATGGGTGAACACCACTGAGAATCTGAGACATGGAAACCCCAGAGAACATCACGTCTGGACTCAAATTTCCACTGGACCACACACAGAAGGGCAGATCTATCATGGGCACGCCGGACCTCATCTGCAAACACAGAGGAGCTGTTAGTCAAAGAACACAAATACAGAAAGAGCTAAATATATAAGGTCTACGCTGGGTTTCACAAATGGGGTTCATGAGATGATGAAAAGCGAATAGTTAAACTGAATCTCATAAAAAAATAATAAATGTGGCTGCACAGTTAATCGAAATAAAACTGAAATTGCAATTCAGCTTAGTGAGAATATCAAATCAAAGGCTGCAGTTAAATTAAGTATATGCTTTTTGGGAATGCAACGTGCACTAGATTCACTTTATTTACAAGTTTGCATAATTTGCACCATTTCTGTGAATAGAAGTTTACAGAATTTCACCAATATTCCGCCAAAATAAAGGTTTTAGGATTTGAATGTTTGAAAGTGAACCGTTTAAAATATATATATGTGACCCTGGCCCACAAAACCAACGAAAAAATAATAACTAAAAATAAATATTTTTATTTAAAACAAAAATGCTGTTCTTTTGAACTTTTTTCATCAAATAAATAATTTAAATTAATTTAAAAAAAAATCATGGTTTCCATAAAAAGTAGCAAAAACTGTTTATTATTATTATTGTTGTTGTTGTTATGAATAACAGAATTATTCTTTAGAATGATTTCTGAAGGACCATGTGACACTGAAGAAAATTCAGTTTTGATTACAGCAATAAATTACATTTGAAAATATATTCACATAGAAAACAGTTATTGTAAATTGTAATATTATTTCACATTTTTTACTGTATTTACTGTATTTTTGATCAAATAAATGCAGCCTTGGTGATCAGAAGAGACTTCTTTCAAAAACATAAAAAAGATATAATATAATCATGTTTACAATATTCACCTAAATATATTTTTAATAAAACCTTTTAATATGAAAATGCCACACTGAGTCTTTGAACAGCTCATGACGATTTTTAAGTGATGACTTAAATGAATCCTTGAATCAGAACATTGACTCGATTCAGTCGAATGGAACTTTGAACTGATTCAAAGAAATGAATCAGACGGCTGTACTAAAAAAATAACAGTAATAATAAAATAAACCTCTTAATACTCTCAAGATGTGTTATCTCCCAGCCTTACCTTCAGGAATAGGTTGAGGTGATGGGTAATCCTGGTTTTTATGCACCTCGATCACAGGTGAGGGTGTGGAGAGGGGTTTCTCCGCTGGAGACTCTGGGGAATCGTTCAGGTTTCCACTGCCCTCTGAGGATGGGTGAACACCACTGAGAATCTGAGACATGGAAACCCCAGAGAACATCACGTCTGGACTCAAATTTCCACTGGACCACACACAGAAGGGCAGATCTATCATGGGCACGCCGGACCTCATCTGCAAACACAGAGGAGCTGTTAGTCAAAGAACACAAATACAGAAAGAGCTAAATATATAAGGTCTACGCTGGGTTTCACAAATGGGGTTCATGAGATGATGAAAAGCGAATAGTTAAACTGAATCTCATAAAAAAATAATAAATGTGGCTGCACAGTTAATCGAAATAAAACTGAAATTGCAATTCAGCTTAGTGAGAATATCAAATCAAAGGCTGCAGTTAAATTAAGTATATGCTTTTTGGGAATGCAACGTGCACTAGATTCACTTTATTTACAAGTTTGCATAATTTGCACCATTTCTGTGAATAGAAGTTTACAGAATTTCACCAATATTCCGCCAAAATAAAGGTTTTAGGATTTGAATGTTTGAAAGTGAACCGTTTAAAATATATATATGTGACCCTGGCCCACAAAACCAACGAAATTGAATAAAGAAGCTTTCCATTGATGTATGGTTTGTTAGGATCAGACAATATTTGGCCGAGATACAACTATTTGAAAATCTGGAATCTGAGGGTGCAAAAAAAAAAAAAAAATATTGAGAAAATCATCTTTAAAGTTGTTCAAATGAAGTTCTTAGCAATGCATATTACAAATCAAAAATTTAGGATTTGAATGTTTGAAAGTGAAACGTTTAAAATATATATATGTGACCCTGGCCCACAAAACCAACGAAATTGAGATTTATACACTATCTCAAAGCTGAATAAACAAGCTTTCCATTGATGCATGGTTTGTTAGGATAAGACAATATTTGGCCGAGATACAACTATTTGAAAATCTGGAATCTGAGGGTGCAAAAAAAAAAAAAAAATATTGAGAAAATCATCTTTAAAGTTGTTCAAATGAAGTTCTTAGCAATGCATATTACAAATCAAAAATGAAGTTTTGATATATTTACGGTAGGAAATTTACTAAATATCTTCATGGAACATGATCTTTACTTAATATCCTAATGATTTTTGGCATAAAAGAAAAATCAATAATTTTGACCCATACAATGTATTTTTGGCTATTGCTACAAATATCCCCCAGCGACTTAACACAGCTTTTGTGCTGCAGGCTCACAAATATTAGTACTGTAACTTAAAATGTAAAATAAAAAAGTATTATATTTTATATATAAATTACATATACAATTATATCATATAATATACAGTATATAATATGATTTAATATATAGTATATTACAAATTATATATAAATATAATTATGAAATATTATTTTTTTTACAGGACAAGTGTAACTTACAACAGCAATATATTTATATCATATTTATTTTATCATTAAGAGCTGAAACAACAACAAGCCCTTTATACATGCAACCCTATATATAAAAAACAAACAATCAAAACTAAATGCAATTTACAAAAGTAATATATTTATTACATCTTTATTTTTATAGTGTTAACAACAACAACGACATCAACAATAATAATAAAGCCCCATATAGGGGTATGCTTATTTATAATTAGGGTTAAAAAGATATAATAATAAAAATAATAGTAAAAAAATAATAATAATAATAATAATAAGCCCTTTATATGTGCAGTCCTATATATACATAAATGTAAAATAAAAACAATCAAAACAAATTAATAATAATAATAAAGCCCTATATAGGAGTAGACCTATATAAATATATAATTTTAAAATGAAAACACTTGCTAAAAAATGAAATATTTAATCTGTTTACTTGCATGTCATGTGACCATTAACCAACATCAGAGAACTGTGAAAATGCAAATGTGACATTAAATTGTGGAATATAGACCTAAAATGTCAGGGGGACTTCAAGTAAATATTTTACTTTTAAGGGGTTTGGCAGACAAAAAAATAAATAAATCCCTGATCATACCTGCAGTGCTGCTAATGAAAAGTTATTGATCCCCACAGCGCTGTAGGGGCCGGCAGAGACCGCTGTGGTTTGTGGTGAGGAAGATGAAGCTGAATGTGGACCTTCAGTCAGAGACGAGACGTCACATGGAGAGCGAGGCAGCAGACTGAACCAGTGAGTGTTTCTCTCTGTCAGAACCTTGTAAAGCTGCTCGTTACGGATCTGCTGCTGGGCGTTAGCGAGGTAGGTGGTGTTGTGGAGATCAGGTTTAACATCATGGTTAGGACTTCTGGGTAACGTAGTCTGCTGTTTTGGGCTATTGTATTGGTGACAAGAGACCTCAGAAGACATCTTGGCCGCTTCCAACAGCTTGCTGAGCTTGGAGAAAGAGTCCGGGCTCTGCAGGAAGAGGTTGAGAGAATCTACATCATGCGGAGGTTTCGTCTCAGCGGTGCCGTATTTTTCATCAGGCTCTTCTGTCGGCTCCTCTTTGACCTGGACGAGGTGAGCGTTCTTCATCCTCTCACGCTCTCTCTGCAATTCCTCTGGACCTGAAGAAGCACAAAATAGCATCATCATCATCACTAGCAGCACATTTATACAATGGTTAGCTCCAATAAAACAACTGGACATGTAAAAAGAAAAAAAAATCAAGTCAGTCATTTTATATATTGCTTCAATATTTCTTATAATATTGCTTATATATTATACATATGTATATATATATATATATATATATATATATATATATATATATATATATATATATATATATATATACTGTACACACTACCAATGAAAAGTTTGGAATAATTACGATTTCTTAAAAAGAAGTCTACTTTTATTTGGTTAAAAATACAGTAAAAAACAGTAATATTTTGAAATATTATTACAATTTAAAAGAAAGTTTTCTTATTTGAATATATTGTAAAATGTAATTTATTTCTGTGATCAAAGCTGCATTTTCAGCTTCATTACTCCAGTCTTCAGTGTCACATGATCTTCAGAAATCATTTTTAATTAGAAAAGGGATGTTTGTCAAAATGTTTTTTTTTTGTATATTTGAGATACTATTATAGTTTTTATTACTATTTTAAATTAGTTTTTATATTGTATATTTTCAGTTTGTTAAAGCTTTAGCAATTTTGTCGTGTTTTTTTTAATATGTCTATACAGTTTTTATTAATTTTTATTCCAGTTTTAGTTATTTTAGTAAATCAAGTTAAACTAAACAAAAATGATAATTTCTTCTTCTTATTATTATTATTATTGGCTTTTATTATTATTATTATTATTATTATTATTATTACTATTTTAGTTAACTATAATAACCTGGTCAAGATTATGGAAGCCCATTTCTGCCACTGAATAAAAAATAAAACAAGTTAACTGAATTTTTATCACACAATTCAGATTTTTTTTCTCAGAATTGCGAGATGTAAACTTGCAATTCTGACTTTATAACTCGCAATTGCAAATTTATATCCATCTCCCAATTCTACCTTTTTTTCTCAGAATTGCAGGATACAAACTTGCAATTCTGAGAAAAAAAAAGGAGGAACTGGGAGATGTAAACTCGCAAGGCTTAAAAGATTCCACCCGGTTTCTGTCTTTTCCTGTCTTCACATCATGATCTCATTCAGTCTCATTCTCTCACCCTCTCCGCTCTCCAGTCCCTCCACAAAGATCCCGCCACACTGCGGCAGAACCCAGTAGCGTCGTTTATAACGGTCCTGACCGAACATCACGGAGCGCAGGGAATGAGAGGCCTCGAACAGCTTCCGACGGATCTGAGTCTGCTGCTGGAAGAGAATCAATCAGACAGATGTATTCTATTTCACCTCTCTTTACTAAAAATGTTTGGAAATATGCAAGCGGTCAAGTCATTTCAGCACACATTTAGTTACAGCAAGTATAGGCACGTTATCCTCCTGGGACCCAGCTATTCATTTTTGTCCTCTATAGAGGACGTTTGTTTTTAATGAATTTAATGAGATTTTGCCTGTGGTGTCTTGCCTTCATTTTCTTAATAACTAATTCCTGATATCCTCTACAGATGACATACAATATCAAGATTTTTTGTTCTATATCTCTTATGCATTTATTGCAGGGTCTCAGGTGGTTGTGCATTTTAGGCTGGTGTAATAATATCCAATCATAAAGAAAAGGACTGACTGTCATTCAGATTTATTCACATACAGACATGTAACCCTCTAAAGCATCATGATCAAAACATCATGAAAAACCTGTTGCACACAATCTACTACATGCCTTCTGTCGTCTGATTGATAGTTTAGACATTTGTAGTGAGTAAAAGGTATTTTAGTGTAATTGTACAAACGTCCACCTTCAGCTTGTGCTCCACGTGTCTTTTTACCGTGAAATTTTTGTGAAGTAAATGTAGGAATAACTGTATTATCGTTAGTAATATTTCACGATGAACAATTACTGGACTGAAGCAGCTTATGTTTACTTAATTATCCATAAATCTTTTTTTTTTTTAGAAAATGTCTCAAATATGATCATCAGGCTTTTGAGGAATGTTTTTGTTCATCTCTCAATCATCATTGTATTGCATTGCATTATATGTTTTGTTCATAAAACTAAGCATTGAAATTTCATCTTACTAAGACATTATGGGGAGATATAGAGTGACGACTGATGTTTGTATCATTTAGTCTGCTAATACTGTTATAAAGATCTCATTGATTTACATTACAAGCATCAGAATTTCTGCTTATTTTTTAGCCGTATAAATATCAGCATCTGCACAAAATTGCTATTTTTGCTCAGTTTGGGCCTCTGAATAAAACTGAGGTGTTCTTCCTCCATATTCTCACTATATCATACGAGCCATAAAAGCCTGATGTATCAAATATGATACTCAACAAAAAACATGTGGTGAGATTCACATCCTGATATTCTTTTACCTTGCTGAGCTTCTCGATCTGTCTCTCCAGCTCTTCAGTGCTTGTGATTTGATCACCTTCGTCCTGCAAAACAAGACCAAGAACAGCTGACACGCTGCTAAAACATCACCTTTGAGAAACAACAACTTATAGAACTCAAAAGAGATCACTACTAAAACTAAACTGCAAAAAATGACTCATTCTGAACATCTAACATCAGATAAACACATTTCGAACACATACTGTGTAAAAATAACATAATGATGCTGCCATCTTTCTGAGGTCATTTCTCCTGCCCTGTAATTTTGCTCCAAATCTCAGGTGACCATTGTAAAATACAAAATACAAAATAGTGGATTACTCCGTAAACATTCATCCATGGCATTTAATATTTTGGCATTTCTTTCACCAAAGAAAAAATTATCAAAATCAAAATGAAAACACTTTACCTCATCTTCACACGCCTCTGCTTTCTTCCCTTTCTTCCCACAAAAGTCGTCTTCATCCTCATCCTCCTCTCCCTGTTCATCGCTGTCATCGTCTTCCTCATCATCTTCGTCACTCTCTCCTCCTTTGCGCTTGCGTTTACGGCTGTTCACAGACGCACCGGTGAACTGAGCCTCCTCTCCTCCAACGCTGCTCTCCCGTTTTCCCGTCCTCTTAGCATAGATGCTTCTCAGTCTGAAGAACAACAACGGCCAAAAGAACATGATGCATTACAATCTAGCTGAACAGAACATCATAATCACATTATAACTAGATATAGCATTATAACAGTGCTTTTTATTCTTGTAAATGAAATGCTGCAGCAGTAAAATGACATTGTTTTATGAATAATTTCCTAATATTCAAATCTAAACTGCAAAAAATGACTCATTCTGAACATCTAACATCAGATAAACACATTTCGAACACATACTGTGTAAAAATAACATAATGATGCTGCCATCTTTCTGAGGTCATTTCTCCTGTCCTGTAATTTTGCTCCAAATCTCAGGTGACCATTGTAAAATACAAAATACAAAATAGTGGATTACTCCGTAAACATTCATCCATGGCATTTAATATTTTGGCATTTCTTTCACCAAAGAAAAAATTATCAAAATCAAAATGAAAACACTCTACCTCATCTTCACACGCCTCTGCTTTCTTCCCTTTCTTCCCACAAAAGTCGTCTTCATCCTCATCCTCCTCTCCCTGTTCATCGCTGTCATCGTCTTCCTCATCATCTTCGTCACTCTCTCCTCCTTTGCGCTTGCGTTTACGGCTGTTCACAGACGCACCGGCGAACTGAGCCTCCTCTCCTCCAACGCTGCTCTCCCGTTTTCCCGTCCTCTTAGCATAGATGCTTCTCAGTCTGAAGAACAACAACGGCCAAAAGAACATGATGCATTACAATCTAGCTGAACAGAACATCATAATCACATTATAACTAGATATAGCATTATAACAGTGCTTTTTATTCTTGTAAATGAAATGCTGCAGCAGTAAAATGACATTGTTTTATGAATAATTTCCTAATATTCAAATGCAGGGTGAATGAAATATGGCGTGTGGGCCTGGAAAGCTTTGGTCTTTAAGCTCTCAGCCAGAGGCGCTAGTTCAGTCTGTCCACAGTGAGCTTCCATATAGATCTGCAGCACCTCGGACACATTGTCCCGGTTCAGGCCGAGGTTAGTCACATGGTCTCCCAGAGCAGTCTTAGCCTGAAGTGTTCAAAACATCCAAACAAAAGAACAGAGCGATCCAATGAGGAACTCAGTGTGACAAAGGCCACGAGTTTAAATGCTCAAAGAGATTTGAATAATCATGGTAATTGAAAGGCATGGTTAAGTCGTTTAATTTCGGAGTTTCTTCAGGCGGGCAAATGGCTTTTTATTAAGACTGTGAACGCATGTGAGATTAGTGCAGAGCATCTGCTGAGGGGCTGAACTGAATTCTTGTTCTTCATTGGAGATACTGAGCTTAAAGAAGAGCAGCAGGAACTGCCCACGAGGGAATACTCTAGGATCAGACAGACTCTGCGCTGATTTTATGACATTCAAATGAGAAAATAAATAAATAAATAGACATAATATAAGATAGAATCATGTTTATTGACAACTTGCTGATTAATGATTGAAAAAGGTGACTAAAAATAATAATAATACTAACAGCTGATCAGTTAGTAATGATCAGTTTCTGTAAATCTACGCATGTGATTGCTCTGGTCTCACCCTGTGTCCTGCAGGGAGTCCTGGGTCACAAACAGCAGCAGACAGCATGCGCACCAGCAGGTCCTGGATGAAGCCCATGCTGTCGCCCACATTCAGCAGCCCTGCCTGCAGCACGCCGAGTGACGGGACGTCAGTGCTGAGGTCAAACCCCAGGACCTTTCCAAAACAGCGCAGGAACTGCATGACCATTAGACAGTCTGAGAAACATCCTCCTGGCAACAGCAGACCCGCTATCCTTGACAGCGCCGGCAGAGGCTGCACATGGAGAGAGAGACACAGAAGAGCAGATTACTATTGGACGGTTGTGTGCCTAGTATATGTATGTGGTTGCTATGGTGTTCTGGATGGTTCCTAGTACATCTAGGTGGTTCTTATGTTACTAGGCGGTTGCTAGGGGGATTTTTGGAACATCTAATTGTCATATACACTACCGGTCAAAAGTCTGGAATAATTAAGATTTTTTAAATGTTTTTAAAATAAGTCTCTTCTGCTCACCAAGGCTGCATTGATTGGATTGAAAAATACAGTAAAAACTGTAATATTGTGAAATATTATTACGATTTAAAATAACTGTTTTCTATGTGAATATATTGTAAAATGTAATTTATTTATGAGACGCAAAGCTGAATTTTCAGCATCATTACTCCAGTCTTCAGCTTCACATGATCCTTCAGAAATCATTCTAATATGCTGATTGAAGTTGATCTGATTTGAATTGATTAATTATTATTGATGCTAAACTATTTATAATGGTTCTTATTATTATCAATGTTGAAAACGTTTTTGCTGCTTAAAATAGAAATCTTTTGTAACATTATAAATGTCTTTACTGCCACTTTTGATTAATTTAATACATCCTTGCTGAGCAAAAGTACTAATTTCTGCTTAAAAAAAAACTTGAATAGTAGGGTATAACAATTTCCACAAAAATATGAAGCACAACTGTTTTCAACATTGATAATCATAAATGTTTCTTGAGCAGCAAATCGGCATTTGAGAATGATTTCTGAAGGATCAATTGAACTTTTTAACATATATTCACACAGAAAACAGTTATTTTAAATTGCAGTTTTTACTTTAATTTTGAGCAAATAAATTCAGCAAACATAAAGTTATAATAATAATTATTCAAAACTTTTGGCAGGTAGTGTACAGGAAAACCATTAGTCCGATTGACTTTGTTTGGTGCCACTAACTGCGCAGAAATTCTGCACTTAATCTTTATATTTGGTTGTGTATAAAAAGGGATTCAGTGGCTGCTGTGATTCACCTTGTGGTCAGACAGACACATGTCTTCATTGGGTTTGTTCAGCTCTTTGGCCATCTCCAGTTCCAGCCGTCTGAGCTCCAGTTTGCGCTCCTTGTTCAGTCGTTTCTCATCTCGTTTCTCCTGTTTCAGCCGCTCTTTCTCCTGCAGAAACATTTAAGAAGATTTGACAAACCTTGTGTGCCAATAAGACTGATCTACTCATTCACAGTCCATATGATTGAGCAGAAGAAAGATCAGAGGGAAGAGAGACACTAAAGGAGAGATGAGACGAGAGAGAATAAGAGGAGATGAAAAGAGGGAAAGAGAATGATGAAACAATAAAAGGAGCTGTATAACATACCTCAGCTTTCTTCCTGGCCTCTATCGCCTTCATCAACATCACATGCTGCCGACATCTCTCCCGCTCCTACAACAACAAACACACAGACATCAGAGAAACAATAAAATAAGAACAAATAAACTAATGGAAGTAAAAAAAAAACTAAGTGAGCAAAAACAAATAAAGAAGAAGAAGAAATTTTAACAATGTCTAAAGAACACAAAAAATAAAAGAGAAAGCAAATACAAGGAAGGAAGGAAGGAAGAAAGAAAGAAAGAGAGAGAGAGAGAGAAAGAAAGAAAGAAGGAAAGAAAGAGAAATTATCAAAAAAACAATGAAAGAAAAACTGAGTGAACAAAACAAGAAAAAGAAAACCAAAGGATTAAAAAACAAACAAAACAATTAAAAAATTAAAGAACAAATGAAAGAAAAATAAAGAAATTAAACAGGAAGGACAGAACAAATAGGAAAAACAAAAAGACCAATAAAATAAGGAAAGAGCAAAAGATCTAAAGAACACAACAAATGTGTTAACAAAACATCAAACAAAACAAACACAAAACATCAAGAGAAACTTAAAACATCACATGGTGAATTTTTGTCCCATGTAACCTAATGTCTAACTTTACTCTTATTGATTTCATTGTTTTTAGTAAATATATGTAATGCATACTAAGGAGAGACAGTGAATCAGATATTGAGATGAACTGCTCGCAGTAAATAACTCAGTAAATCAATAAATGCATCAATTGCTAAAAAAACAACAACAAACCTTTATTCGTTTTTCAGCTTCTAGTATTTTAGCATTTGCAACCTCTTCTTTCTTTTTTCTTTTAGCCTGCGAGAAAACAAAAAAACATGTTTGACAGAAGTTATATAAATTAATATAACAAAATATTTGACGTAAGTTATTTAACTGGACCAGTAAATGTTTAAATGCGTAGTACAGTATGAATTAAAGATGCAATAAGCAAACTTATATCTCAATATTTAACAGCCTTCTAATGGTATTTGATAGACAATCCATATTTATATATTGTTCTATTGAAATCAGAGGAAACATCATTCAAACCAAACAGTCATTGTAGAGAAGTAGATTTAAAATGCAATAAAAAAATAATAATCAGGGAATATTTTAATGTCACCAACCAGCCTAAATTCATATTCATTACTAGATAACAGATTTTAAAAAACTCTCTGAAGTAGACTGTTAAACCTCTTCTAGGAAGGAATGGCTGATTAAAATTATAAGCATGTAAAATATATTTTTAAATATTTATAAAAAAGTACCAGTAAAATTTCCCAAACAAAGCTGGCAGCTTTTCCATCATTTTCTGCTCGATTTCAAATAATTTTTTTATTAAAATATTAGTTTTGTATGCAGAAAATATTTATTTGTCTATATAAGCCTTTTTTAAATATTTATATATATTTATAAGCACCTCCAAAAATTCGCACACTTCACAATAATAGTAAAGTTATTAAAACTGATGACAAAGCATTTTTATTAAGCTATTATTTGTAATAGATCATTTACATTTGTATTATGTTACACTGTATATAAGCTTTTTACCTCCAAAATCTGCCGAGCACGGAGTTCCTTCTCCAAACGGACCTGCTGGATTCTCTTGAACTTCTCCTGTTTAAGAAGCGGGAATGAGAGAGAATGAGCCATGCATCTTATGCATCATCCCCTGAAGGTAAAGGCTGATCTGAAGTGTCAAAAGCAACAATGCATGCACAAACACAAGCAACAAGTGGACAGGAAACATCATGAGAAAACGTGGATGTTTCTGACCTGCTGTTTCAGAATCTTCATTTGCTCCTTGTGTTTCCGCCGCTCTTCTGCTGCCATGATTGCTGAAAGTCCACAGGAAAAGGTGAGCGGGTTTATCAAGTGTAGTAGAAACTAGAAACTAAATAAAGCTCCTGCTCACCTTGCTGTCTCCTGGCCTCTTTGGCCGCTTGTGCCAGCGCCTGCTTCTCCAGTTTACGTCTCAGCTTCATCTGAGCCGCCTGCCGCGCGATTTCTGCCAGAGACACGAGAGCTTTAGAGCTCAGTTAATATACAGCAATGCTATACAAGTCCAGCTATAGACAGGGTTTCTGCACGTCTTAAGAAGGTACAGCTAAGACTTTTTAAGACCTTTTCAAGACCAATTAAAGAAAATGTAAAGAATAAACTGAAGGGAACACAATATGCAAATGTCTAAGGAGAAATCAGAAGCACTTTTTTTAAAATAGCTTAACTAGAAATTGGAAACAACTTTTACTGTACCTTCTGATCACACTGCACAAAAGTGACGTTCTTCCTCAGTATTTTTGTCTTGTTTTCCAGTGAAAATGTCTAACATTTCTTAAATCAAGATGCAAAAATTACATGATAAGAAGTCTTTTTTCTGAGAAATGTATCAAAATGAAGTTAATTTATAATAATAAAAAAAGGACAAATATCTGGGCTCAGAAAAATCTACTTGATTCAAAGGGTAAACAAGTTAATTGATAATATTTATTCAATTAGTCAAAAAGCAAGACTTCATAATTTCATTTTGAATCTCAAGTAAATTTAAGGATGTTTAGATATTTGTATTGGAAAACAAAATAGAAATACTTACAAAGATATTCAATTATATTTTTCAATTATTCAGTTATTTTTATTATACTTTTTGCAGTGCATGCAACATTTAACAACATGACTTTACGAATTTAAGACTTTCTGCTCCGGATTTAATTTGTGAAAGAGCAAATTAAGACTTTTTAAGACCTACAGAAAAATTGTATAGGGAACAAATGAATTAGGGATGTAACGATGCACCCCGAGCCGATTGAAAATCGATGAAAATATGTGACAATTTAAGTCGGTTGAGATGTTATACGAACTGCAATTGAATTGGGGGTGGGAGTTTATATGAATGCATCTCTGAGGGGAACTAACTGTCTTCAGAAAAGTCCATATTGTCTTTTCTTTTCATCTTGCCTCTGAACAATGCATATTAAAGAAGTTCATTGTTTACAGCGGTAACCCAGGAAACACTGTATCTGCTGTTCCATAAGCGCCACCTGCTGTCAGAGAGTGAATCTGCATCTCATTCAGCTTGTCTGCTGTTTTTGTTTCGTTCAGATATGTTTTATGTAGTATAATTTTACAAACCTAAAGTCAGACCAATCTGTTTTTGCTTTAAATTTCAAAATTATACAATCTAAATGAAATCAAAAACTGCTCATGCAGCATGTACGCAGAATCTTTGTTTGAATCATGATTAAAATGCAGTGGTTGCCTCTAACTGAATGGAAAGAGCACAGGCTAAGCCGTAGTTTGTTTATATGACAGAAAAGTCCATATTGTCTTTTCTTTTCATCTTGCCTCTGAACAATGCATATTAAAGTAGTTCATTGTTTACAGCAGTAACCCAGGAAACACTGTATCTGCTGTTCCATAAGCGCCACCTGCTGTCAGAGAGTGAATCTGCATCTCATTCAGCTTGTCTGCTGTTTTTGTTTCGTTCAGATATGTTTTATGTAGTATAATTTTACAAACCTAAAGTCAGACCAATCTGTTTTTGCTTTAAATTTCAAAATTATACAATCTAAATGAAATCAAAAACTGCTCATGCAGCATGTACGCAGAATCTTTGTTTGAATCATGATTAAAATGCAGTGGTTGCCTCTAACTGAATGGAAAGAGCACAGGCTAAGCCGTAGTTTGTTTATATGAAGAGATTTATTTGATTTGGGATTTGTTTTAAAATTCCAGTTTAGCTTTGTTATGTGACATTTCAGTTTCACAAAGAAATGTGAGGATATTGTTAGAAAAATAGTGAGAAAATTGTATTGTGAAATCGGTATGAATTGAGTGAATAATTACATCCCTACTTCTTATGTGTAGATTCTTCAAAAAAAAAAAAAAAAAAAAAGGTTTTTAATTTTGGGTGAATGAAATCTTTTAAAACATTCTAAAACCTTCATTTAAATGTGCAAGGTTTAAGTTTCACATGTTTGCTAAATGAAAAGAGAAAATGTGTGCATTTGAATCTTGGTTTGTGTCAGCGGTACCCTGGGCCTCCAGTCTGCGCAGAAGTTTGGCCTCAGAGGTGCTGAGAGCATCGGCTTCACCCTCGTCAGGTGCTCTGGCTTTCCGGCGAGAGCGAGCGGAGTCAGCGGCACGATTACCCAGAGCGTCAAGATTCTTGCGACGACCCCGTCGACCTTCCATCACCAGAATACGAGGAACCACTTCCTCCTCCTTCAGTAAGCACCACTGTAACCCCTGAAGAAGACAACAACAGTGTTTAGAGAATAAATGATTATTTTTCACAAAAAGTAAAATAATAATAATAAAATTAGTAGTAGTAGTAGCAATAATAGTAAAATAAATAGAGAAAAATTATAATATCTAAAATTATTATTATTATTGATTAAATGGTTTATTTTGTATATAAAATATATATTTTGTATATAATGAAGTAATAATAATTATTATTATTTAATCAATATTAATAACTAGTAGTAGTAGTAGTAGTAGTAGTAATATTAATAGTAGTTGATAATAATAATAATAATTATTGTTGTTGTCGTTACTTAAATGGGTTATTTTATTATATAATTTAATATTTAATCAAAACACACTAATACTGCACAACAACATTGTTTAGTAAATAAATAATATAAATTTTAGTTTTTTTTTTATTATTATATTATTATTAGTAGTAGTAGTAGTAGTAGTACCAGTAGTTGTAACAGCATAATAATAATAATAATTATTATTATTATTAAATAATAATTTTAATATTTTAAAACAAAAATCACAACAGACTTTAACACCACAGATATACACTACAATGTTACTTTCCCCCCTAGCCAATTAAATCAGATTCGTTCAACCTACACAGAGGCAAGAAATTACCTGCGGTCCATCTCTGGCTTCATAGAAGTCACCAACCTTGATTTTAGCACTGAAGCTAAAATGATCACGTGTAATGTTGCTTATCCCGTTACTGGTCAGATACTGTGAGGGGTGAGAGAACGTCAGATCAACAGAACGGCAGCAGCATCGGTCATTAAATAGCGACTCATGTTTTAAGTGATCATCTTGCCTTGATGACATCAGGATACTGTCTGAGCTTTCTGCCGCATGGAGCGTAATACGCCACCTCTCCCCGCAAACGCCCAGACATGTTTGTGATGCGCGTCTCTCTCTGCCATCTGAGAACAGAAAGAGTTTTCATTTCATGCTCAAGACTCATAAGGTGAAGTCATGCAGAAATGAGACGACTAAGTCAGCTATTTGCAAGCTGACTGGCTTAAAAAACCTGTCTGTCCAGCCATTCATTATTTTTTCTATTCCATTTAGACTCTTCAGCTTTAAACGCTGATGTTCATCGCTGTTTTCAACTCAGTTCAATAAATTGGGGTGTTTTATTAGTTAAACTTAGTCTAATCACATTCAGTTTAGATATATAATAGTGCAAAGTTCATCATATTATGAAGCAAACTTAATTTAACTAAAAAGCAGCTCTATTGAAAACAATAGTGTTATTATTCAGCTCAAGTCAGTTCTGTGTTGATTCAATTCAGTTCAATAACAGCGGCGATGTTGCAAAATTCATCAGTTATGAAACTAATTTGTTTCAACTATAAAGCAGCTCTACAAAAGACAACTATCATTCTCCAGCTCAATTTAGTTCAAGCTTGCTCTCATCCATCGTCAGTGGAGTCAAATTGATAATATTACGTATTAAGTGCATTTTAATTTAATATCTTTTAGCGTCTTTTAGCAGAAATTTAGCAATTCAAATATTAAATGTAATGTTTAATATTTAATTATATTATCACATAATAATATAATTAATGATAATATTAAATGCAATATTAATAATAATTATTAATAGTATTTATAATGTTTTTATACTACCTGTACAGCACTTCCATTTCAATGTTTTTAAAATGTGATTTATAAATAAAGTAAAGTAAACTAATGTTGTCAATCCATTTCAGAATCGCATTGTTTTTGTGCTAGATAAATCCTGATATGCTAAAGGAACTTAAAAAATGAGTCCAAATAAATCTGATTATATTTATAAATGTATTGCCCCTTAAATGGAGTAACTTTTAGCATATCTGTCAGCAAGTTAATGTAGCACTACTCCTCACTATTTCCCATTTATTCAATCATGCTGTATGTACATTATATGGATTCTTGTAGGGCTGCTCGATTATGACAAAAATCATAATCACGATTATTTTGGTCAATATTGTAATCACGATTATTTAAAACGATTATTAGTGGGCCATATGACCAAAACTTTATATGAAAGATTTATTTAAAGATAATGATATACTGTATATCAAATATATATTTTCTGTAAATAAGGTTGCTATGACACCTACATTTTAGAGACCAGCGAAATACCAGAGTAACTAATATTAGTTAAAAAAACAACAACAAAAAAGGTCCTCAAAATTATTGAAATTAATTCAAATGTAATAAAGAAAGCAAAGGAATACAATGTCAGTAATAAAAAAAGCAAAAAAATACAATAGAACAAAAAATACAAATGAAGTTTTTTTAATGCAAGTCTAAAGTATTCAGTTAACGGCCTACTACAGAAATTGAATAACCTAATGTAAAATAAAACGGCATAGTCTTCACTGTAAGAATTAAACATCCTTTGTTTCTTATTAAAGCTACAAAAGTCCTTCAGTCAAGAGCAGTGAGTGATTTTGAATGTGTCTTTTGTTGTTTGATGAATATTAAGCACACAGTCGCAGCAGGAAAATAGCCCGCTGTCACTTTAAGAGCTGCACGGATCCAATTTACTGTTACACAAGTATTTTTATTCTCAACTCTTTACATTTATTTATTACATAACCGACGAGGGTTCACGTGAATAATCACTAAGCGCCACATTTTGGTGTGTATTTGACCGTTTAGGTGCTAAAAGATGACTTTACATGTCCCTGTTGTGTTCCTTCTCTGGGCGCATCCACAGTAATCTTCCCGAGGAAGCGCAAGTTCTTTCACGCTTTTAAAAACATAAATCAATCTGATCAACTTAAATAAATAAAAAAAAAAAAATTTAGCAAAAGTCTCGTTACATGATTTTACTGATTATGGAGGAACGAAAGAGCACCGCTAGAAAGGGGCACAATAATCATTTTATCTCGATTACTGTATTTTCATAATCGTTGGAGGCCGAAATCAAAATCGAAACTGAATTTCGATTAATTGCACAGCCCTACAAATCCATTACTGATGCAATAACAAACCTCTGCACGAGGCGATAAAGTGTCCTTCAAATGTCTGGATCATTAAACATCTATAAACACGCTGACTTTAACGAAATTTACTCAAAGATTCACTTCAAACTGTAGAAGACGGTTTAGAATAACAGCACTATAGTGCATTGCTCTTTACAGATGCATAGTTGAAAGAAAATCTGGTGATACTGCCGCATACTGTTCAGTGATACTGTCACTGGGGCAGTATCCTTTCAAAAGGTATTAATATGTACACACTTTAGGTGAAAATACGTGCTTTGAAAGTACTAATGTGTACCATATAGGGATAAATAAGGAACAAAAATGAACCTTTGAGCTCTTGTACCTTCGGGTGTCGCCCCAGTGACAGCTTTGTACTTTTTTAATGAGTATGTTCTGGCCCTAAAAGGATTATTAAAATGCATGCAAATGTTTGACATCACTAATAAAACGAAAATAAGGGTCCATGTAACATGAAATGGCTGGAAAGTCAAGACTCACCCATATTGTAGAGGTTTCCGCAGTGCACATTCATCTGTGACTCTTCTCCTTTTCCCTAGGAAGATGGCAGATAAGCAAATATATAATCACAAGAAACATATACTTGCTGTTTTAGTAGAAATACACTGGTCGACCGATATAGATGTTTTATGGCCGATATAAAACCGATAAATATATGATATCACATTATTTAATTTAAAGATAGTAAAAAAAACCATGCATAATTGCTGAAATTAAATTCATATTTATTTTACATAGTATTTACATAATTATATAATTTGAAAATGAATAAATATGAAAAAAAAAAATGTAACTTGACAAAAAAATCTGTAAAATAAAAAGACATTTATTTGGATGGCAACTTCTTGATTCTGTAATTTTATTATAGTATTTTTCACAAATAAAGAAATGAATAAAAACATTAATAAAAAGGAAGTAAACACTGTAACCAACAGTGCACACAGTCATCTGGTATGTTTGTGCACACTAGGAATAATTTTTTAAATATCTATTTAAATTTTACATTCAGCACACAATGAATATTTTATATTTTTTCAACTTATTTACTTTAGTAAATATTATGTAAAATAAATATACATTTTAATTCAGCAATTCATGCGTTTTTGCTATTTTTAAAAAAGGCTGTCAAAATAAAAGTCCGGTGTCCAACTGCAGCCAAACAGAAAAAAATATTGGCCGATGGGATAATAAAAAATGGCAAATATTGGCCAATATATCAGCCTTGGCGATATATTGATCGACCACTCACCCAACCCATTTAAAGCGCATAAGAAGATTAGGATGTTGATTTTAACTATGTCTTTGTTGTTTTTTATTATCTTGAAAATAGGTTGCAGGTTATTAATAGCCATAAGAACAATTGTTTACAATACCTGGTGGTGTGGCCACACTGTAAGACGACAAAGCTGGGCTGTGATTGGCTGAATTCCCAGAGCTGGTCACAGTGGCTGGTGTGGTTGTGGCAGGTGTTTTAGGAACCTGTAGATTGAGAGGGGCGGGGCTAGTGCTGTGGGAGGAGTCTAGCAGAGATGTTGAGAATTTGGTGAGTTTGAGTGGCATTCTGTCCATTTCTAAATCTGTGTCCATCTCTTCATCTTTACCATCATCATCATCATCATCATCATCATCATCATCAGAATCAGTGTCTAAATTGCTGTCAGAGTCTGCATGAGAGAAAACAACATGAGAGTGTGTTCACTCATGTATGAATGGGAAAATTACGCTTCTATTATGTTGCATATGACTTTTTACTCAGTTAGGATCACAAAAAGTGCATGCAATTTTTTGACACTCTGATGTGAAATGTGCATACAAAATTTGTATTATAATTAAGATGTTTGTAAGTCAATCTAACCTACAAAATACATGATTAAAAGGCAGCTGTACAAAAACAAAATAAATTTTGATGTATTAAGTCAAGTCAGTTTCCAACTACTCTCTAAGGGTGTTTACATTTATGCATTTGGAAGAAATTTACACATTGTTGATGGCATGCATTTGTGGCATACAGTTTCGAACCCATGATCCAGGATTATTATTGTTAGCAAAACTTAAAATCATAAAAAAAAAAAAAAGAAATAAAGAAAATGAAATAAAATAAACATCAGCTGAAGAAAAATAAAATAATAAAACAATATTTAAAAAAAGGAAGTAAACTAAAAGGTAAAGAGCTAGTTGCCAAGGCAACATTTCTAATTTTTTTGTTTAGTTTAACTTGTAGTAGTAAAATAACTAAAACTAATTAAACTAAAAATAAAAAAGAAAAATGAATAAAAACTATATAATAAAAAAATAATAATAATAAATGACAAAAGTACAAAACAAAAACTTTAACTATAATTAAAGTGAAAACAAAACATATAAAAATATAATCTAATTCAAAATATTAACAAAAAATATATAATAGTATCTCAAAGATACTAAAATAAAATTTATGATCTTGTGCCATGCTTTTACTTTTTGAGCTTCAAGAAAGCACACAGAATAAACACTTTCCACACTTCTGTTTAAAATGTTTTTTAAAAATGTAAAATACAATATAACAATATTGAGTGTGAAAAAAGAGTTTGATGTTCTCATGTTTTTGTTTTCTTTTTTCGTAATGTGTGAGAACGTTTGATGTTAAAGGTTTACTGTTTTTACCAGATTGTTTTTGTTTATCATAGTCTGATTTTTGGTGAATTATACTGAATTCCATTAGAGTTTGTACCCAGACTTTTAACATAATACAAGGGTTAAAATGCATAGAGAAATAGCTATTTTCCACTAAGGAGGAAATTTTGAGTTTGAACATTACAGATGTTTTATAGCACAATTAACCTTTATCTCAAAAGATGGCAACACTTTACAAAGAGGTCACATTAGTTAATGCATTAACTAACATTAACAAACAATGTGCAATACATTTTTTACAGTATTAATTCATCTTTATTAACGTCATCAAATAAAAATACAACAGTTCGTTGCTAGTTCATGTTTAACTCGGGTTCATTAAATAATACATGTTTTGATTTTAATGATGTATTAGTAAATGCTGGAATTAACATTAACTATGATTAATAAATGCTAGTATTTTTCATTGTTAGTTAATGTTAATCCATATTATAAAGTGTTACCAACGTATACATATATAAATATATATAAATATAAATATAAATATAAATATACACACATAATATTATAATATTTTAATCAAGCATCCTGCTGACCTGAGAGACTGTCATTTGAAGCATCATTTTCATCCTCGTCCTCCATTAACAAGTCATCAGAGCCTTTGCTGTCAGGGAGCTCAGACTCCGCCCCCCTGAAGTGCTCCACCAATGACGGTCTCTCTCTCTTCAGTGTCCTCCGCCCTGTTTGGCAGCGCTTCCCTCGGGCTGCCCCGGGAGTCAGACCAGGCGAGGTGGCGGTGCGACCCGTGCTGGTGAGGTTGATGGGAATGTTAAACGCGGGGCTGGTGGTGGCCAGCAGTGGTTTATCAGGGGCGCGTGTGCTCTGGGAGCGAGGTTTGGTAATGAGGGCCAGAGGAGCGTCCTGCACCGCGCCGGGATGGTGGTTCTCAGTAGGAAGTGAGGGGAGGAACGGATTGTTAAATGGATGTTTCTGGCTGCTCTGTGATTCCTGTGCACCTCTCAGCGGTGGAGGAAAGGCCTGAGGTAGTGATGACTGACGGGACAGAGAGACGCAATTACTTCATCTGTCATTTACTGTGATTCATTGAAATGATTGCTGCCTCTTCTTATGAACAAATATTGAAACACATATGTGACCCTGGAGCACAAAAGCAGTGTTAAGTTGCTGGGGTATATTTGTAGCAATAGCCAAAAAAACATTGCATGGGTCAAAATTATTAATTTTTCTTTTATGCCAAAAAACATTAGGATATTAAGTAAAGATCATGTTCCATGAAGATATTTTTGTCAATTTCCTACCGTAAATATATCAAAACTTAATTTTTGATTAGTAATATGCATTGCTAAAGACTTCATTTGGACAACTTTAAAGATGATTTTCTCAATATTTTGATTTTTTTTGCACCCTCAGATTCCAGATTTACAAATAGTTGTATCTCAGCCAAATATTGTGCTATCCTAACAAACCATACATCAATGGAAAGCTTGATTATTCAGCTTTCAGATGATGTATACATTTTGAAAATTGACACTTAAGACTGGTTTTGTGGTCCAGGGTTACATATGCAACTAATATATTCAAAACAGAATTTGAAATTAATTTTTTTATTATAATGCAGAAGATTGTTTATTATGAAAACAGTCAAGCTGAGAACGGAATTATGCACGATATACACTACCAATCAAAAGTGGTGTTGGTGAGATTTTTATAATATTTTTATTGAAGACTCTTCTGCTCAGCGAGGCTGCATTTACTTGATCAAAAATACAGTAAAAACAGTCATATTGTGAAATATCATCACAATTTAAAATAAGTGTTCTTTATTGGAATATATTTTAAAAGAACGGAATTATGCACGATATACACTACCAATCAAAAGTGGTGTTGGTGAGATTTTTATAATATTTTTATTGAAGTCTCTTCTGCTCAGCGAGGCTGCATTTACTTGATCAAAAATACAGTAAAAACTGTAATATTGTGAAATATCATCACAATTTAAAATAAGTGTTCTTTATTGGAATATATTTTAAAGTGTAATTTATTTCTGTGATCAAAGTTGAATTTTCAGCATCATTCCTCCAGTCTTCAGTGTCACATGATCTTCAGAAATCAGTATAATATGCTGATTTGCTGCTCACTTATTATTATTATTGGTGCTCAATTCTTAATTATGGTTCTTATTAGTATCTATGTTGAAAACATATATATTGCTGCTTAATATTTATTGCTATAAAATGTTTTCAACGCTGAAGACTGGAGTAATGATGCTGAAAATTCAGCTTGGCATCACAGGAAAAAATTACATTACAATATGTTCACATTGAAAACAGTTATTTTAAATGTAATCATATTTCACAATTTTTACTGTATTTTTGGTCAAATAAATGCAGCCTTGGCGAGCAGAAAACTCTTCTTTCAAAAACATTTGACAAATCTTATTGACTCCAAACATTTGGACTGTAGTTTAGTTTCGGAAACTAACATCTTCCCCTACATTGATCAGCAAATATCATCTGCACATGCTTTTATCTCGTTGTGTTTCAGAGAAGGGCACCTGTCTGTGTTGGCTGACGTTGTCGAGGTAATCCTTGCACGTCTTCAGAGGAGCAGATCTGGAGGAGGGCAGTGTGGGAGAGGAAGACACAGACAGAGGTGGTTTTGGAGAGGGCAGGGGAAGATCTTTAGGGGACGGTGCATCTCTGTCCCTGCGCCGCTGCGTGACTAGTGCAAGCGGTTTTGCGCTGGCTGCTAGACCTGTGGTCTGGATGACACTGGTGTGTTTGCTGGGCTCCTCTGTGGAGCTCAAGGCCTGGATGTGCGATGGCGGCTGAGACAAAAGCAAACCCCGGACGTCCAGCTTATCCTGCCCTACAGTGTGCCGGTTCTTCTTCCTGTATATGTGCATTTCCTCCTGAATAAGCAGAATGACAACTTATTGCTAATATAAAATAAATGGTGAAACAGCTGTTTATTTTTTTATTTTATTTAAATGTTGCATTAATTTTCATGTTTATTATTATTTAATATTAATGTTTATTATTATTATTGTTTATTTTAATAATAATAATATTAATGATAATAATAATAATATATTTTACAATAGCATTTTTTTCATAATAGTTAAAATATTTTTTAATGCTGTCCACCAAATCAAAGGCCTCGTTCAGAATAACATACTATCATGTTTTTTATTATATAAATTGTTTAAATGGTATAAAGTTTTATAAATAGTTTACAAAATATGAACCTATATACAGAGATTACATTTTGGCGCTTAGGTTGTAAACTAGATTTAAAAAAAATATATTTATTTCATAATATTTTATCTGTAATTTTAGTATTACTTATACTTTTATAATATTTACAATATATATATATATACACTATTATAATATTTATTCATATTTTGAATTAGCTTTTATATATTTTCAGTTTTAATATTTTTAATAATTTGATTTATTATGCATTTATTATATTATTATGCTTTTGCCACTTTTCTTAGATTTTTTTTTTATATATTTAAATTTATTGGTAACACTTTACAATAAGGTCCCATTAGTTAACTTCAGTTATTACACAGCTCTGTGGAATACTTGATTCTGATTGGTCAGTCGCGACATTCCGAGGTATGTTATCCCTTGATAACAACCGATAAAAACGAATAACACAGGCTCATCCGGGTAACTGAAGTCCCCACTATACTCTTGCTAGGAACAGTTTTTCTTCGTGAAAGCTTTGCGTTTGGTTAGCTACTAAAATATTAAAACTCGATTCAATATTATGTGTACAATTATTTAATTATGTCATCCTGGTATCGCGGACTCGCTCTCTCGCTGTAATGGATTATAAGATAACGAACAAACAAAAACATTTTTGTCTTAAATCTTTTATCACCATAATTATTTATGTGGTGAAATATTGTGTAATGAGTGGTATGACTGCACCGTATCCCGTAAATGTCCATCTAGTTTGAACTTGCCGCATGCTCGCAAATGTTGTGTTCACCGAAGCTTAGCGTTCAAATATTTCAACTCAAATCAACATTTCGTGTCTAATTATTTACTTCACCCTGTCGGGGGTTATTCTGCGATAACAACCGGATGGATGTACATTGTTCCTAACTTAATGCAATAACAAAAACACAACTGTTTATTGTTAGTTCATACTGTATTAGCTCAGATCCATTTAAAAATATTAAAGGATACAACTTTTGATTTTTAGTAATGCATTAATAATTTATTGTTGAAATTAACATTATTAACATATTATTAGTTCATGTTAGTTAATATATTAAACTAGTGTTAACAAATGCAGCTTTATTGTAAAGTGTTTTACATTTTAGTTTTAGTCATTTTAGCATCTCAACTTATTTTATTTCAGTTAGCTGCCAAAGCCACATTTTTAATTTGTCTAATATTTACATTTGATTTAATTCAGCTTTATTTTAATGAATGAAAAAACAATTCATAGTTTTAGTTAACAACAGCAACACATACCTTTCGGATACCTTTCGGATCTTTTCCGCACTTTTCCGAGTCGACACTATCATCACTCTGATCGTCGTCGTCGTCGTCGTCGTCAACATCCTCCAGGTCGTCTGAGTCAGAGCTGCTAAGAGCATCACTCGAGCTGTCAGAGCTGGATGCTGATTGGCTGTCACTGTTGATGGAGACATCTGGCACTTTGCTGCACAGCTTCTGTCAGGAAGAGCAGAGCAATGTCAGTCGACAGGAGCTGCCACACACACATTTTCTTGGTTTACACAAACAACCCCCTTCTGCCACCCATCCAGCTGACATGACAGACTAAAAATAGTCCCCAAAAAAGGTGGAGGATATGTTTTGACAGAAAGTGTCAACAGCAGCATTTATAACACATGCAGTGAATGCTGCATATATGGAAATTATTAAACGCTCTTTATGATGCTTCGCTTACTTACAATACCACAAGTCAACTAATTAGCTGACTCACATTCGAGTTCCATTGCTGCTCAGTTAATAATAATGGCTCTTATTATCATCAAATGTTAAAAACGTTAAAATTTATATATAAACAATTTTATATTAATATTCATAATATTTAAAATTATAATTAACTTTTTAAAAATCCAGATACATTAAAGGCAGCACAACAAATACTCCCATGAAATTTAAAAGTTATTAAAATGTCACTTTATAGGAATGAGAATGATATCTTTTTTGCATTACAGTAACAAGAATTTGGGGGTAAAATGTGCTTAATTTTCAGGAAAAAAATCATGCATAATGACTTCATTGATTTTATTAGAATTAAAGCAAAGTAAATTCAGCATGGTGAGATTGCTCCCCCCCCACCAGAATATGTCTGAATAAAAATTGTAGAATTACCACAATACACCTGTCAACACCTGAAATAGCTGAAGTGAAGTGTTCTGCTGTATTTCAGTGGAATAAGTCATTTACTATTAACATATCTGTTAAATCACAGTTTTTACTTTATTTTTATAGATACTTGTCTGTGAAATAGGAGTATTTTTATGATCGATATTGAATTATTATTGGACATCATCTTTTCTAATAATACCTAGAACCAACAGGCTTCTTTCCCCAGGCAGTCAAATGTTTAAAAGCATAAACCCCTTCATCCCTTGGACTCGTGCAATAAACCTCCTACTTGAGTAAGAAGTGCAATAATCTCTCCCACACCACATTATGATTTCACTTATTTGTTTACCACACTGTGTTCATATCCTATTCTTGTTTTGTATTTATGTCTTTGCTTGTCTATATTGCCCATTTGTTTGTATATGCTTATAGTTTGTATTTTTTCTAATATATGTTTGTTCTTGTCGTTCACATTTGTTTATACTGCTAATTCTGAAGAGCCGCTAAACGGTTTTTCATTGTTCCTTAAAAAAACAACAATAAAGAATCTATTCTATTCTATTAATATTGTGAATTTTAGAAGGATAAGAGCAATGCTTCCTTAGTATTTGGGTAATATTATATTCATATTGCCTATATTATGTAGATACTGTATCTAAACATGCCTTCTAGGTAGGCAAACTTTAGGAATAAAAATACACACACAGCATATGAGAGGTAACTTACACACCTTTCACAGGAGTGCGTCTGGCAGCATGAGACTGAAGCATGGTTTGCTCCTGGTTCAGGAACGGTGCGCTGAATAATGCCGGCAGACCCAGAAGATGAGGAAAAAAGGCCACTGACCCTTGACCCTGAATGTCTGCAGAACGCCACCAATCTGAGGAAACAGATCAAGTTTACCCAGAAATTAAAATTCTGCCATCATTTAAATCATCCTCATGTCGTTCCAATCCTGTTTGAGTTTCTTTCATCTTTTGAGAACAAAAGAAGATATTTTGAAGAATGTGGGAAACCAAACAGTTGACGGTAGCCATTGACTTTCATAGTATGAAAAAAATACAATGGAAGTCAATGGCTACCGTCAACGGTCTTCAAAATATCTTCTTTTGTGTTCAGCAGAAAAAAACGAACTCATACAGGTTTGAAACAACTTGAGGGTGAGTAAATGATGACAGAATTTTCATCTTAAGATTTCCTAGGATGAGAGTCTCATTCTTCAAATCTCAAACTGGATAGAGTCTCAAATTATCTTCAGATTTCTGACTTTTTTAACTTTCAGGCTAGGATTTGTCCAGTCAAGTCTTGACAAACTTTCCTTTTTTCATTTCATCTGTTGTTACAGCTGTAGTTAATTAAAGACTTTTCTTAGGTGCAAAATGACTCCAAATTATAACAAAAAATGTTTTATTAATCAAGTCAAATTTATTTATATAGTGCTTTTCACTATACACATTGTTTCAGAGCAGCTTTACAGAATAATCCAGATGTTATTGTTATATCTTAATATCTTCATGCCTTTAATCATCCAGATCTAATCTGCTAAATGTTTACATTTTGCAATGATAGAAGCAATCAAGCAGTTGAGATTATATATATATATATATATATATATATACAGTGGGTACGGAAAGTATTATTAAATTTTTCCCTCTTTGTTATATTGCAGCCATTTGTGAATACTTCCCGTACCCACTGTATATATTTTTTTTTTATGTGAGTGTACTTTATGTATGTAAATAAAGCTAGAAAAAATATATAATGTATACAACTACATATAGAGAGCTATGCTAAAAATTTTATTTTAAAGCATATTTACATGCAAAATAAAGAGACATGCAAAATACCACACAATGTTAAAGCCAAAAAGTGCTGTAACACAAGACACGTAAGCACTTCACCTTCGCTTGAAGTGTCCTTAAAACGGCACAAAAAACTCTTTAATTTATCCTCAACTGCGCCATAACCACAGCCAAACTAGCTCATAAATCCTCAGGGAGCAAACAAATCTGTCCAAACAGTCAGTGAGTGATGCTAAATGATCCAGAGCTAGAGAAAATCCAGCTTTTGATTACAGGCGTCTGCTTTCACACCAGCTCTTCAGATCTCCTAACAGCAGCGCTTTACTCCATCCACTCTCATTTCAGCTATTCATTAGAAACATGCTGAAGATGGTAAATCTAAAACAGACATCACACTCCATTTCCTGCTCACACATGGCTTACAGATCCGGCTGAAAACACTCGGTTCTGTAAACATCCACTTTATGACAAATAGCAAAGCATGTCCTACATCGCATGAATACAAGAATCAACCTTAAAAACATCACTTTAGGTCGATTTGACCGTTTCGGAGTCTGATTGTCCTTCCGAACGAGGGCTGAGATTTGCACAATCCTGTTCTCTTTTACAGCAACAATCTTGTTCAGAAAAGAAACACTGCGTGTCATGAAGTGTTTAAGTCTCTGTGAGGAGCTGAAGTCACTGCAGGAGGTTAAAGCAAAGCTCTGACCCAGAGCATTCAGGTCTTTGTAAATGTCACGGGCTCAGCGTGGACCGCCCGACTGATGGAAAGCACTATAAAGGTGAAACATGTGCCCACAAAAACATGTCCAGGTCACATTTCAACCCCCTTACCAAAAAAGGAAATAAAGATTGCATTGTGATTTTATTTTTAAGCATACTCTCCCTGCAATTTTACTTTACCTTAATGCATCCAGATGTTTCACTGCCGAGTTATTTTTTACAACTGCCAATATTCTCAGTGGTGATTCTCATTACTGACAATGAATACATACAATTATATATTTATATAAAATATCATAAATATTATATACAGAGAGAAAGAGCAAGAGAGATTTTTATATAATGCATATATATAATATTTATAAATATAACACATTACATTATATACAGTGTTGGGGGTAATATATTACAAGTAATGCGAGTTACGTAATCAGATTACTTTTTTCAGGTAACTAGTAAAGTAACGCATTACTTTTTAATTTACAAGAGAATATCTGAGTTACTTTTTCAAATAAGTAACGCAAGTTATTTAAAAAAAAAAATGTATTGATTGAGAGCTCTCCTGTCCCCATGTTGAGAGAAATCAGAAGATGTTACAAAATAAATACGAATATGCATTAATTCATCTCACTCACACAAAAAAAAAGTAATGCATTACTTTTAAAAGTAACTTTCCCCAACACTGATTATATACATATAAAAATCTATACAATTATATTAATATTAATTTTATATACACACACACACACACACACACACACACACAAGCGTGTGAGACCACTTCATCATTTACTTTTTAATGGCATCTTCTGCTCATCATACCTGGTACAGCTCCGAGCTGAGAGCGGGCAGCCAGAGCGGCCGACATTCCCAGAGTTCCCAGACCTCCGAACTCAGAGCGGACAGGAGAAGAGGAGTGCAGACTGAAGACTGGGTGATGGATCATGGGAAAGGCACCGGAAACTGAAGCAATCCCCAAACCCTGATTTCCAACCATTTGGAACAAATGACCTGAGAGAGAAAAATCAAAAAACATCACCAACTCATGCATGTGTAGCAGTCCGATGCATAAAGCCTGTCAGAGAAATCAGACTATTTGGACTTAAGTGTACTTGGAATAGGTGTAGATTTAATTTATTACAATGCATTTAAGAAGAGGTTGTTTACAGATATAGCAAAGGGAAAGAAAACCTTATTGTGATTTTTCTGGATAAAATGTGATTTAAAAAAAAAAACAGTAAAATGCGATTAAAAATTCCAGGTTTGCTGTGATTGCTTGTAGTCCTGCATAATTTGGCCAAAATTTAGTGATTATATATCAATATGGCTAAATATTAATAATAATAATAGTACTAAAACTCATTATTATAAAATAATACTAATACTAATAATAATTATTAGTATTAGCATTAAAATACTTAATAATAATATCATCATTATTTTAAAATCATTATTATAATTATTATAATATAATAATAATGATTACTATTATTATTAATATTATAACTTAAATATGAAAATATTAGTATTGTTATTATTATATTTAATAACTAATATTTAATACATAATGTATACTATTTCATATTAGATAGCATTGACTATTTTAATAATAATAATTATAATTAAATACAATATAAATAATAAATATTCCTCAGTTTAGTAATATTGTGCTGGTCACATGTAAATGAACACAGGACTGTGCTTTACTTTGAAACACTCTTTTTATATTTTTATTTAAGTAATTTTCAGCATTTGTGATTTGATAATTGCACCAACCCATATCAGTTTTGGCTTTACTTTAAT